CTCAGGGAATCATTCATTCATCATTCATGCATTCGTACATTTGTTTGTTCAGTAAACTCTTTTTTTTCTTTTCTTTTCTTTTTTTTTTAGACAGGGTCTTGCTTTGTCACCCAGGGTGGAGCACAGTGGCAAGATCTCATCTCACTGCAACCTCCGCCTCCCGGGCTCAAGCGATTCTCCTGCCTCAGCCACCAGTGTAGCTGGGATTACAAGAACGTGCCACTACATTTGGTTAATTTTTGTATTTTTAGCAGAAACGGGGTTTCACCATGTTGGCCAGGCTGGTCTTGAACTCCTGGCCTCAAGTGACCCACCCACCTGGGCCTCCCAAAGTGCTGGGATTACAGGCGTGAGCCACCGCACCCGATCTCATTCAGTAAATTCTTGCTCTCCCTCTGCTCCAGGCCCTGCGGAGACAGCAGAAGGATCAGGCACAGCCTGCTCTCAAAGAGGTCCCAATGCAGTGGGGAACACTGTGGGGCAGCGGTGGCGTTCGGTGTGGTAAGTACAGGGTGCCACGGGAATGGGAAAGATCCTGGGGTGCCTCAAGGAGGCGGCTTTTGACTTGGCAAGGTGCTTTGTGGAATAGTGAAGGAAGGTTCGTTCCGGGCAGCAGGGATGGTCGGGAGAAGATGGAGCAAGGATCAGTGAGGCATAGTTGGGCGTGATGAGCCCGGGGAGGTGGATGGAACATAAGGTGTGGGCGGGGGATTGGCCTGCATCCAGCCAGAGAGATGGGAAAGGACCACACCACAGAGGGCCCAACGGGGCCCGGAGGGCAGTGGGGAGCCAGCGAATAGCATTGAGCTAAGGAGGAGCTGAGAAGGAGTTCATGCAAGCCGGTGGCTCCCTGTGGAGAACCAGCCGGAGGGGCAGGGCCCAGGAGCTGGTGATGTGGGTGTTACAATACCCCGGCCAAAGAGAATGAGCTTAAGATGAAGGCAGTGGCAGTAGGGAGAGAATGACGTCAGTGGATTGTGTGGATTGGCCTTGGTCTACCAATGGGACAGAGGGTGGAGGGGTGGAGGAGGGTGGAGCCTCCGATGATGCCAGCATATCTCTCTGGGTGCTTCGATAGGCGTCAGGGCCCTTCTCTCAGTGAAGGGGAGGAACAGGGCTGGGGGATCAGTTAGCCCTGGACTTAGGGGTGTGTGGGACTATGGGTCCCCGGGTAGAGGCGTCAGCCTAGTTTTGGACATGCTGGCCTGGAGCCCTTTAGAGGACCAGGCTGGTGACCCAGGGAGAGTGTGGTGTCAAGCCACAGAACAGAGGAATGGCTCATAAAGAGGACCTTGAGGCTGGGCGCGACAGCTTACGCCTATAATCCCAGCACTTTGGGAGGCCGAGACGGGTGGATAACTTGAGGTCAGAAGGCTGAGACCAGCCTGGCCAACATGGTGAAACCTTGTCTCTACCAAAAATACAAAGATTAGCCAGGCACAGTGGCGTGCGCCAGTAATCCCAGCTACCCGGGAGGCTGAGGTATGACAATCACTCAAACCTGGGAGGTGGGTGTTGAAGTGAACTGAGATCGTTCCACACCACTCCAGCCTGAGCAACAGAGTGAGACCCTGTCTCCAAAAAAAAAAAAAAAATGGACCTGGAGAAAGGGTCTGAGATGAGATCTGAGGGCCACCTACATGAAAGGCATTGGCAAGAGGAGATCAGAGGAAGGCTGTGGAAGACAGACAGGAAGAGACTGTCACGGGCAGGGGCTTTGCAGCAAGAGGCTCCACAGTGGCTTGGACCACATGTCAGGGAGGAGGAACGACAGCTCAGTAACAAGAATTGCTGCAGCCTCCGTCAGTCCATCCGTCCGGGGAGGACTGGGGACCAAAGCCAGGCAGGAGAGAGTTCTGGAGAGACTGGGCCATGAGGAAGTGAGGGATTAGAAGTGCAGATGACTCTGGCTGGGCTCAGTGGCTCACACCTGTAATCCCAGCATTTGGTAGATGACTGGCTGGGTGCAGTGGCTCACGTCTGTAATCCTAGCACTTTGGGAGGCCGAGGCAGGAGGATCACCTGCGGTCAGGAGTTCGAGACCAGCCCGGGTAACATGGTGAAACCCTGTCTTTACTAATAATACAAAAATTAACGGGACTTGGTGGTGAACACCTGTAATCTCAGCTACTTAGGAGGCCGAGGCAGGAGTATCACTTAAATCTGGGAGTTGGAGGTTGCAGTGAGCTGAGATCGCACCACTGCACTTCAGCATGGGTGACAGAACCAGACCCTGTCTCAAAAAAAAAAAAAAAAGAGAAAGAAAAAGAAAGAAAAAGTATAGACGACTCTTTGAAGCAACATGGCTGGGAAGAAAGAGAGAGAGAGCTGGGTGGAACTGAACATGGCCTCACAAGGGTCTTTAAAATATATATATATATTTTTTTCTTGAGACAGGGTCTCACTTTGTCACCCAGGGTGGAGTGCAGTGGTGCAATCATAGCTCATTGCAGCCTCAAACTCCTGGGCCCAAGCTATCATCCCACTTCCGGCCCCCAAGTAGCTGGGATTACAGGTGCCCACCACCACGCCCAGCTAATTTTTATATTTTTGTAGAGACGAGATTTCACCATATTACCCAGACTGGTCTCAAACTCTAAACTCAAGCAATCCGCCTGCCTTGGCCTCCCAAAGTGCTGGGATTATAGGCATGAGTCATCCAGTGCGGCCAAGGGACTTTTAAACATTTTTAAATGACAGAAAATGGACTGTGGGGCCGGGCGCAGTGGCTCATGCCTATAGCCCTAGCACTTTGAGAGGCCAAGGAGGGTGGATCACTCAAGGTCAGAGACCAGCCTGGCCAGCATGGTGAAAACCCGTCTCTATTAAAAATACAAAAATTAGGGGCCGAGTGCGGTGACTCACACCTATAATCCCAGTGCTTTGGGAGGCCGAGGCGGGCGGATCGCGAGGTCAGGAGATCGAGACCATCCTGGCTAACACGGTGAAACCCCATCTCTACGAAAAATACAAAAAATTAGCCGGGCATAGTGGCGGGCGCCTGTAGCCCCAGTTACTCAGGAGGCTGAGGCAGGAGAATGGCGTAAACCCGGGAGGCAGAGCTTGCAGTGAGCTGAGATTGCGCCACTGCACTCTAGCCTGGGCGGCAGAGTGAGACTCCGTCTCAAAAAAAAAATAAACAAACAAAAAAACAAACAAAAATACAAAAATTAGCCAGGCATGGTGGTGGGTGCCTGTAATCCCAGCTATTTGGGAGGCTGAGGCAGGAGGATCACTTGAACCCGGGACGTGGAGGTTGCAATGAGTGCCACTGCACTCCAGCCTGGATGACAAAAAAGAAAGAAAGAAAATGAAGCGTGGTGGAAAATGAAGCGTGGTCGTGTGCTGAGGGCTGGGAAACACTGGCAGGAGTGGGAGAGCAAAAGGAGGGCCCCGGGTGAGGTCCCTGCGTCCAGAGCACATCTGGCCCACGGTGGATGGTTTCTGAATAAGCAAGTTATTGGGGACAGACGGAGGGAGCAGGCCCGACATGGTACAGGTCCCCTTGGTGATGGGGGATGCCGAAAGGGAAGAACAGCTGGCCGTGGGGGTTTTGGGGATGGGGAGGCAAGATGCACAGGACTCTCCATGGGGCAGCCGATGTGCCTGGAGCAGAGAGAGGAGAGCATAAGAGGTGCCCCCGACCCCATGCTCCAGGCGACACTACCGCTGGGCACAGGTACCCCTTCCCTCTGTGTCAACCAGGAAGCACAGTCATGGTGGTGAGGGTGGAGGGAGTGCAGAGCAGGAGCGAGAGGGGCTGGGAAAAGCCTCCGACCAGAAGGCGAGAAGAGGCCTGGGCTCCAGCCCTACCTTGGACTCAGTAAGAGACCCAGAGCCGACCTCTCTGTCCCGAGAGCCTCTACTTCCCCACCTGGAGAATGGGGCCTCGGCCTCCATGTGCCGTAGGGGGCTTGTTACGTGGCGTCTCACAACTCTTGCATTTCAGGCCTGCAGAACACAGAGAAGTCCATACTTGGGGATTCCAGGATCCTGACATTCTATAACATAATTTCTGTGTTGCCACCAGGGGTGGGTCCAACCGACGTCTCTCCCTTCACAGTGGCTCTGTCTGCCCATCCCAGCCGCCAGCTCCCCTCCCTTCCCTTCTCCCCGTCAACTCCGGGCACAGCCAGCCTCGAACACATCCCAAGCAAGCACTTGGCAGGCGGGGACCATGATTCATGCCCTTCCAGCAGGCTTCGTGGCTCGCCCGCCCGCCAGAGTAGGCAGGATATTCTTGGCCTCACCGTTTACTCAGGATTAGCAGGGCGGGGGTGGCTGGGGCTGGGGGAGGCAGACTGTGTTCTCCAGCCTCAGCGAGGTGGGGGGCGTTCATGTCTGAAGTGGCCGCCAGGCTGGCCAGGGAGGGAACATCACCCCATAAACCAAGGCCACGTCTGGGACCCAGACAGCAGAAATGGGGTGGGGCCATCGGAGGAAGGCTGCCACCTGCTCTGTGTCCAGGGAAAAAAGGAGGGCCAGGAGCCCGGGGGCAAGCGAGGCCGCTCACCCCAAACCCCTGATCCAATTTCCCTCCACGAGCCTCTTCCTTGTTGGGGGAGCCCGGCCCTCTCCATCCCTACTGCCTAGAGCCCAGGCTGGGCCAGGAGTTGGAAGCCAGCTCCCAAACAACCAAGGAACAGAGAAGTCAGCAGCCTCCAGCCACTCCCTCCCGCTGCCCACCCCAGCTCCCCAAATTCCCCCCCAAAGCCACGCCCCCACCCACCCTCAGACCAGTACTTCAGGATGAACCTGGAGCTCCCAGGATAAGGCTGTGCCTCCCCCGTCAGACCATCATTTCAGAGCAAGACTATGTCTCCCTAAAACCAAGTGTCCCGAGCCTTACCAGTGTACACAGAGCAAGGCCAGTGTCCCAGGCTAGGGCCATGCCCCTCAGACCATGGTTCCTCGCCAGAGCTCTACCTCCTCCCTTAGATCAGAACCCCCAGGGCAAGGCCTGTCTCCCCATCAGGGGTGACAAGAGAGGACTGGATCATCAAAGTGGGTGGCCCAGGAAAGAGAGTCGGAGGAGAGTACAAGGTCCCCACCCACTGTGGGCTCACCTGGGCCCAGAGGAATCCGTTCTTCCCAGGTCAGATGCAAACAGTTCCTTGGTTCGGAGCAGGAGCCTGGGGCTGGACCATGGGTGAGGGCAGGTGATTTTGGAGCAGGGTCTCTGGGCAGGGAGGGGCCAGGTTTGCACAGGGCTGAGGCAGCAGTTTAGCCTCTGGTAGGGACAGCTCTCCCCACTCCCTGCAAGGCTGTGGTGGTCCCCTGTGAAAATGCATTGTCCCCCTCCTCCAGGGCTCCAAGGTGCTGTCCCCAAGCAGTCATCACCCCAGACCTGGGTCTCTGAGGCTCAATGTGGGTGGGCCTACCTCTGCCACCCGGGGCTCCAGCTTTGTGTCAGACCCACGGGAATTTCACTCTTGACTCCACCCTGGTACTCCTCCACCTTTCTAACCTCAGTTTTTCTCATCTGGAAAATGGGAACAGGGGCCCCTACAGCAGGGGGTTCCATGGTATGCCCTTTCCCCTTGGCTGGCCACAGGTTAACTCTGGGTGACCGCAGGGCCAAGGCGCAGGAAGCAACGAAGCTGAGTCCAGTCCATCCTTCCATCCCACGTGCGGCGCCAGGACCTTCAGGAAGTCACTGAGACAGAGCCACATGGAGGAGCGGGGAGATATCTGGCTGGCCTTGGGAGGGTTGGCCTCAGTAGCCTGTGGGGAAGCGAATTCCAGGCCCCTCTCGGCTTCCTCCTGGGTCCATTCTCTCACCCAAGCTCTGGCTTGAGCACCTGGCTGGAGCCCCTGTCCAGAGACAGCTAGGGACCCATGACCAGCCCAGAGGAATGGGGGGGCAAGGGGCTTACATTCCTCTCTCTTTCTCTGCCTCATTCTCTGCTCCCCAGACCAGGAGATAAAGGACTGGGTTTAAATTCCGGCTTTGTCATTCACCAACTATAAGGCATTGGGCAAGGTATTGGATCTCTCCAAGCCTCAGTTTTCTCATCTGTAAAGTGGGAGTGGCCAGGTGCAGTGGGTCACGCCTGTAATCCCAGTACTTTGGGAGGCCGAGGAGGGAGGATCACTTGAGCCCAGGAGTTCGAGACCAGCCAGAGCAACAAAGTGAGATCCTGTCTCTACAAAAAATTAGCTGGTGTTGCCAGGTGCAGTGGCTCATGCCTGTAATCCCAGCACTTTGGGAGGCCGAGGCAGGTGGACCACCTGAGGTCCGGAGTTCAAGACCAGTCTGGCCAACATGGTGAAACCCCGTCTCTACTAAAAATACAAAACTTAGCCAGGCATGGTGGTGATTGCCTGTAATCCCAGCTACTCAGGAGGCTGAAGCAGGAGAATTACTTGAACGTGGGAGGCGGAGTTTGTGGTGAGCTGAGATCGTGCCATTGCACTCCAACCTGGGTGACAGAGCAAAACTTCATCTCAAAAAAAAAAAAAAATTAGCTGGTGTGGTGGTGTCCACTTGTAGTCCCAGCTACTCAGGAGGCTGAGGTAGGAGGATCACTTGAACCCAGGAGGTTGAGGCTGCAGTGAGCCAAGGTCATGCCACTCCACTTCAACCTGGGTGACAGAGAACCTGTCTCAAAAATAAAATAAAATATTAAAAAATAAAATAAAATGGGAATGATGGCAAAACCCAGGACCATTGGAGAATGACATGAGCTAAGGCAGGAAAGAGCCTGGCCCTATGGGACAGGGACAGCAAACCTAGGCAGTCACCTTCATCCTTTCCAGGTTCCTCTGAGGAGCACCCAGAGACCCCAGCTCAGGGGAGACAGTGCAAACCAGGGACCCCCAAGTTCCTGGCCCGGAGCACCTGCTGGAGAGGGACTGGAGTCCTCAGCCCTGAGCATCACTGAGGTTTGGGTGAAGGGAGGGACAGAGGCACAGCCACACCCTGCACATTCCAGCCCTGGTTCATTCTGGATCCAAGCGCTGAGACCTCTCCCCACCCGGGCGCCCAGCCAAGCCCCCCTGTAATGGGGCCAGATCCGGAGGACAGCCCGACCGGGCCAGAGCTCGCTCTCTGTTCAGTCCTTAAAAGTCCACCAGCCCGAGCTCCTCTTCCGCCTTGAAGGGGGCCTGCGTGTGTAGGGCTGCGTTCCTGGCATGCCATGGATGGGGGAGCAACTGGAGGTCTCCCCAGAAAGTGCATGACTCCAGGTCAGATCCTGGGAAAAGGCCACAGCCCCAGGACCTGGAGCCGAGGGACTGAGGGCCAAGTTGGCACTGGGGGAGAATGAGGGGAGTTAGGAGGAGGGGAGTTGGGGGAGGGGGAGTTGGGGGCCTCTGAGGGGGAAGGGAAGTTGGGAGAGGGGACTTAATAAGAGGGTGGGGCTTAATGAGGTGGGACAGTGAGGAGGAGGAGTAAAGGGGCTTAGGGGTGGGGAAGGGAACTCAATGGAGAAAAGGGGGGTTCATGCATGGCAGGGGGCCCAGGCTTTCCCTCCCTGGTCACACTTCTCCTGCCACTCAGTTCGCTTCACACCACCCACCCTAAGCCGTGCCCTCTGACCTCCCACCTGCCTGGGGCTGACCACTCTGCCTTGTCTCTTTCCATCCAGGGCCTTGGGGGACTCCAAGACAGAATGGCCCGAGGCCTGGACACTCTTTGAGGACATCTCTGCAAAGGCTCCTGGCCCTGTCCAGACTCTCATGCCGTCTGTCCAGACTCTCATGCCATGGGGCAAGGGCTCAGGAGTCCCTCCCTGCGTTTGCTCTGGGGTGGCAGAGAGCCATTATGAGTCAGTTCAGGGTGGTGGGCTGCTCTCTCTGGCAGCCCAAGGAAGCCCTCCTGGAGGAGGAAGCCTGACCCTCCAGCTGGGCTTCAGTGGGGAAGAAGCTAGGTAGAGGCCTGGCAGTGGGGCAGGGGTGGGGACTGTATGTGAGCAGTTGTGTGGCAGGTATGGCAGGAAGAAGGGCTAGAGGGGTGGGCAGGCACTGCCATCCATAGCCTGGAAAGTGTCACGAACAGGGCAGGATTTCATCCAAGAAGTGACAGGGAGGCCAGGCACGGTAGCTCAGGTCTGTAATTCCCACGCCTTCAAAGGCTGAGGCGGGAGGATGACTTGAGCCCAGGAGCTTGAGACCAGCCTGGGCAACATAGCGAGACCTCCATCTCTGCAAAAAAAAATTTAAAAATTAGCCGGGCGTGGTGGTGCACACCAGTAGTCCCAGCTACCAGGGAGGTTGAGGCAGGAGGATCGCTAGAGCCCGGGAGATTGAGGCTGCAGGGAGCTATGATTGTACCAGCGCACTCCAGCCTGGAGAACAGAGCAAGACTCTGACTCTTCTTTTTTTTTTTTTTTTTTTTTTTTTTATTATTTTTTGAGGCAGAGTTTCGCCCTTATTGCCCAGGCTGGAGTGCAATCGTGCAGTCTCAGCTCACTACAACCTCCATCTCCTGGCTTCAAGCAATTCTCCTGCCTCAGCCTCCTAAGTAGCCGGGATTATAGGCACCTGGCATCACCCCTGGCTAATTTTTGTATTTTTAGTAGAGATGGGGTTTCTCCATGTTGGCCAGGCTGGTCTCGAACTCCCGACCTCAGGTGATCCTCCCACCTCAGCCTCCCAAAGTGCTGGGATTACAGGCATGAGCCACCGCGCCCAGCCAACTCTGACTCTTAAAAGAAAAAGAAAGAGAGAGAAGTAGCAGGGACTAGAAAGAGGCAGTGTAGGTGGGGAGGGACTGCCAGGATGGGGGTCTCGGCTTTGACACCCTCGCTGAGGAGCAGGAGAAGAAAAGGGGTACCCTGGGGGCTGCTGTTCCTTGTTGGGCTCAGGAAACTTTTGGGCTCTGTCCCCGCCCACTCACACACTTCATCCATGAAGGATGCATTATAGAAGGAAGCCGTGTGGTTCATGCATCCATCCTCAGGCCCTCTCCAAGATCAAGGGTAAGACCAGCTCTTAGGCCCCAAGTCCCATTAACCGAGAGGGGCTGCGGGTCACAGGGCCTGTGGCAGCTGGAGGAGTTCCTCCCCCAAGCCTCTCACCACCCACCCCCTGGGGAATGCAAGTTGCCCTGGAAATACTGTTTAGGTACAAACACTTCTTCAGGCTATGTCCTGGGGGGGATTGGGGAGGAGGAGGCAGACTGGGCAGAGGCCAGGGGCGTGGGAGGTATGGAGAGACCCCTTTTGGTCACCAAGTGGCTCTGCTCCCCAGGGAAGGGAGGACCAGGGCTGATGCTGCGTTTCCTGAGGCCCAGAGGGAGAGCTGGGGGTGCATAGGGGATTCCCAGCAGAGGACAGCCCTAGATCAGAGCCCCAAGGCCCAGATTCTCCACCCTGGTCTGCTACTGGGTCTGAATCTCAGTTTCCCCTTCTGTAAAATGGATAGGTTTTCTCCTTGGTTCCTTCGACCCATTTTTCAGCTTTCATGTTCTCTGCTGCTGTCATAGTCTCTTCTGAGGGGAAGAGAGGTCCAGAGGCCTTTGCTGCACAGCCCCTCGAAGAAGCATCTGTCTGCCACTTCCTGACTCTCTGCGCCCACGTGAGAAGGAGCAAATGGTGGGTAGAGCTGCCGAAGGACCCGAGCTGGAGAAATATCCTGGAAGGGCAGGGTGGGGAGGAATTTGGAAATTTTTAGAACCTTGACAGCCCCGTGAGTCAGTGGGGCAGATGGAAGCGATTAGGCGCTGGCAGGAGGCACCGTGGGGCGGAGACGGGAACCAAGTGTGGCTTGGAGCTCAGACCCCGACAAGGACGAGTGGCTTCCTCCCAGCCTGCCGTAGCCAGCCGCTGGGGGCCCGGGCCTGGTGTGCCTGTTTGAGGCACCAAGATAGACCGTGCAAAGAGGTTCATGTGATAGGGTGCCCAGGATGCTGGGGCCACAAGAAAGGGATGGGACCCAGAATGAGGAAGCACTCCTGCCATGGGGTCACAACACTGCCGTCCAGAGGAGGACAGGTTTCCATTGCCTGTCCTCTGCCCCCAATACCTACACCCCTTCACAGCAGGATCTACCCTACTGATAATACAAACACATTCCCCAACAATCCAAAATCATATACTTGGCCTGGCACGGTGGCTCACGCCTGTAATCTCAGCACCTTGGGAGGCCGAGGCAGGTGGATCACCTGAGGTCAGGAGTTTGAGACCAGCCTGGCCAACATGGCGAAAACCCGCCTCTACTAAAAATACAAACATTAGCTGGGCGTGGTAGCAGGCATCTGTAATCCCAGCTACTCCGGAGGCTGAGGCAGAAGAATCACTTGAACCCTGAAGGTGAAGTTTGCAGTGAACGGAGATCGCGCCACTGCACTCCAGCCTGGGCTACAGAGCGACTCTGTCTCAGAAAAAAAAATAATAATAATAATATTCTCCCCCAACAGCAGGCTGCCCTTGTGCCTCTCAGGGATGTCTAATCTCTAGGGGAGAAGAAAGCAAAGAGTAAGTCATCTTTCAAAGAATTCAATTTGTTAAATTTTTGTTAGAGACAGGGTCTTGCTCTGTCACCCAGGCTGGAGTGCAGTGGCATGATCATCACTCCCTGCAGCCTTGAACTCCTGGGCTCAAGTGATCCTCCCACCTCAACCTCCCCAGTAGCTGGGACTACAGGCATGAACCACCATGCCCAACTGATTTTTAAAAAATTTTTTGTGGAGACGAGGGTCTCACTGTGTTGCCCAGGCTGGTCTCCAACTCCTGGCCCAAGTGATCCTCCTCCTTTGGCCTCCCAAAGCACTGGAATTACAGGTCAGGATTATGCCCACATTTATGTGCTGGGCGTGTCACAGTGCCCAACCAGAATTCAGTTTTAAAACTGAATTTAGATCAAGCACCTCCCTGGGCCAGGCACACGCCAGGTTCTAAGGCCCCTAAGAAAAGCCAACTGAGGCTGGGTACCGTGTCTCACACCTGTAATTCAGGCACCTTGGGAGGCCAAGGCGGGAGGATGACTTGAGGTCAGGAGTTTGAGACCAGTCCAGCCAACATGGGGAAACCCCATCTCTACTAAAAATAGAAAAATTAGCCAGGCATGGTGGTCCACACCCGTGATCCCAGCTACGCGGGAGGCTGAGGCAAGAGAATCGTTTGAACCCAGGAGGCGGAGGTTGCAGCGAGCTGAGTTTGTGCCACTGCACTCCAGCCTGGGTGACAGGGCGAGATTCTGTCTGAAAAAAAAAAAAAAAAAAAAAAAAAAAAAAAAAAACCAGCAAAGCCAACTGCATCCCTGAGGCCGGGCACGGTGGCTCACGCCTATAATCCCAACACTTTGGGAGGCCGAGGCGGGCGAATCACTTGAGGTCAGGAGTTTGAGTCCAGCCTGGTCAACATGGTGAAACCCTGTCTCTACTAAAAATACAAAAATTAGCCAGGCGTGGTGATAGGCACCTGTAATCCCAGCTACTCAGGTGGCTGAGACAGAAGAATTGCTTGAACCTAGGAGGTGGATGTTGCAGTGAGCCAAGATCTAGCCACTGCACTCCAGCCTGGGAGACAGAGCAAGACTCTGACTCATTAAAAAAAAAAAAAAGAATGGACCCCCAGAGCCTGTGTGGCAGCAGGCTGGACTGGAAGCCCGTGTAGTGGAGGCTGGAGAGCTGAATCCAGTTCTGGAGAGAAAGTGAGGAGGAAGGGGCGAATAGG